CTGATGACATCACAGTCTGTGTTGGGGGGGAGGGGGGGTTCAGAAGAGACTGGTCCCAGTCTCATCCCATGAGCTAGGCACCCGCTACCAGCTGGCGTACCTCAGGTGCGCTCCTGGAAGGCGCTTTCTAAATGAATCCGAAAGAAACCAGGTTTCTGTGCTTCCCGAAGCTTTCAAAGCGGGGATCAACTGGAGGATTTGCTTCAAAAGCACACCCCTGATCTGAACTAAAACCATCACACAGACGCACCTGCCATCCTTTTAACAGACTCCTTTAACTTCAGGAATTCAAACGTGAATGGAAAGTGTCAGCGGATGCTCTGTGCACCGGCACTGCACTGGTGTTTCTATCAGTTACACCCCGACGGCACAGGATAGGATCGGTCCCTACGTGTACCTTGCCCGCTCTTCCCAGTACTACTATAAAGAATAAAGCAAAGGACCTCAGTCTTTTTTTCTGCAAATTCTCCAATACCCAGAAATCGATGAATTAAAGATTTGTTTACAGAGAAGCCGTAAGAGATTCTGTCGCCTGCCTGCCCCTACTCCACGACAAAGCCTGGGTGAACACAGCTCCCAATTAAACCCCTCACTGACTACAGAAGCCAGGCTCGTTTCAAGGCTGACGTACAGCTCACAGGGTAAGCGCCCAAGCAGATGTCTGCCGATGTGCCAAGTTCTCCAAGAGCACAACTCCGCTCCAGCTCCCATGTCAGGACGGCTGACACACACCGATCCAGATCTACCGTTAGGTATGTAACACCGCTAACAAACCGGAACTGGACAGGAATCATAGAATCACAGAATCATAGAATGGTTTAGGTTGGAAAGGACCTTGGAGATCATCGAGTTCCAACCCCCCTGCCATGGGCAGGGACACCTCCCACCAGACCAGGTTGCCCAAGGCCACCTCCAGCCTGGCCTTCAACACCTCCAGGGATGGGGCCTCCACAACCTCTCTGGGCAACCTGTGCCAGTGCCTCACCACCCTCACATGGAAAAACTTCTGCCTCATGTTTAATCTAAACCTGCCCTCTTCCAGTTTAGAGCCATTCCCCCTCGTCCTGTCACTCCGTGCCCCAGTAAAAAGTCCCTCCCCAGCTCTCCTGGAGCCCCTTTAGGCACTGGAAGGCGGCAATAAGATCTCCCCGGAGCCTTCTCTTCTCCAGGCTGAACAGCCCCAACTCTCTCAGCCTCTCCTCATAGCAGAGGTGCTCCAGCCCTCGCATCATCAAAAGAGCGTGAGCTTTTGAAAATACCCAGATTCTGCAGTTAGTTTCATACGCAAAAGGCAGTAGGGTTAAAGGTTACTGCTGATGTATAAAGCAGAAAATATTATTAAGCACTGCAATACTAAGAGTTTGAAATGGCAAGATTGGAGAACTCTTGGCTTCTCCTGAGCACAAAACAAAACAAGTAGAAAACATGGCTCCGTTGCTTGTTCTCCAGTACGGACTCCCTGCCCTGTCCTGCCCACATCCAGTTCAAAAGCAACTTGTAGAGAGAGATGAAGTACGACTACAGGGACCTTCACCAGGAGGCTTTATATTGTGTGCATTTTTACAGCATCATCAGCACGTACCAGATACGCTGATCTGCTCAGGAGAGTCCCTACTGGATCGAGTTTTTTGTTCTCCCCACTTCCCTAGGCACAGAGTAACACAGAATCCCAGACTGGTGGGGGTTGGAAAGGCCCTCTGGAGCTCCCCCAGTGCCACCCCCCGCCAGAGCAGGGGCACCTCCAGCAGTGGCCCAGGACGGCGTCCAGGCGGGTTTGGGATGGCTCCAGAGGGGGAGACTCCCCCACCTCTCTGGGCAGCCTGTGCCCCTGCTCTGCCGCCCTCACAGCAGAGAAGGCCCTCCTCAGGTGGAGATGGAACTGCCCATGGTCACCTTTGTGCCCGTTCCCTCTTGTCCTGTCACTGGGCACCACTGGAACCAGACTGTCCCCATCCCCCGGCCCCTCCCTTGAAGGATTGATCAGCGTTGAGAAGATCCCCCTCAGACTTCTCTCCTCCAGACTGAACAGCCCCACGTCCCTCAGCCTTTCCTCAGCAGAGAGATGCTCCAGTCCCCTCAGCATCTCCGTAGCCCTTTGCTGGACCCTCTCCAGCAGTTCCCTGTCCTTCTTGACCCGGGGAGCCCCGAACTGGACACAGCGCTCCAGATGTGGCCTCCCCGGGGCAGAGCAGAGGGGGAGGATGACCTCCCTCGCCCTGCTGGCCACACTCTGCTTGATGCCCCCCAGGATGCCATTGGCCTTCTTGGCCACCAGGGCACAGAGGGTCCTAGGACACACCAACCCCTTCAAAGGGTTTTCAGGGACTCGGGAAATGCACAGAGCCTTTTCCTCCTGGGATACTGGCATAAATGTGGCAAAAGCCAGCCTGAATCCCCTCCGGGTTACACTCTTAACCCAAAACGGCTACTCCCAGCTTAAAAATCTGCCTTATTCCCACTAATTGAGATCATTATCTGGATACAACCCCCCCCATGCTTTGCAACAGCAGCTTCTATGTCTTACACTTTCTGCTTTAACACTAATGCGGGTTCGTATCCGTAACAGAGCTGTCATTGCCGCTCGCCTTTCAAAAACTGTCAATCCAACGTCTCTTTGCAGCAACGATTCACGAGAGCATTTTTAAGGCCATTACGTAGCACTCTGCAGCCTTAACCGTTCTGAAAGCAGTCAAATACCTTCCGCTGCTATGGAGAAACGCCGCTAATTGAACAGGCAGCGGAGAGATAGCTCTGTAAATAATCAGCTACAGGCAAGTAATCTACTTCGAATTGATTTTTTTTTAAAAAAAAAATACTTTTAAAAGCAGACACACCACCGCCATTACAAAAATACATGCAGCCTACTGATCCTCAACAGCGAGAAGTTGCAGAAAGTGTAACTAATTACAGCAAGCGATTAATTTATTTTAGATCTGACATGATAGCCTCTCTTATGAAGAGGATGTGTTGTTTACTTACGAAGCCAAGAAAAACATCACACCTTGTCATTAGTCTAAAGCGCATGAAAAATTATCCCATCTTTGGAATATTTCTCTTGCTTGCTGTCATGATAAATTTTGCTAAGACTACATAATGACATCCTCCTGCCACTCAGACAGATGAGTTTAACAAAGGGAATTTTCAACATAACGTTGCTTTGAAAACCCTGTGATAAGCTATTTGCTAACTACTCAAGAAATTTACAATTTAAATTAGATTAGCACCGCTGACAATAGACATCTTTGGAAGATATTTCGTGAGCTGACCGCAGATTAGGTTAACGGGAGCAGAGCACAAAGGCTACATGGCCCGTGTACGAACGAGACCGTACAGCCTCAGTTCTTGCAGAAATCTGGTAAGAACAAGATAATATATTTGGGATCGTTCTACGTTTATATATGTTATATCCACTTATGCAAGATGGGGAGTATTGCACTCTCTCTGAATTCACACAATGGCAGGAGAAAACCAGAATACAACTCCTAGTAATCTCTGATTTCCAAAGTGAGAACATCTTTCAGATGCTGAACTCGGAGAATATTCATTCTGCTTAACTCTGGCACCAAATTCAGAGCCTCTTTGAAGCCTAAATAATCAGTGGAGCTTCCAAAGCGCGACCAAGAGGACCTCTGTTAGGAACCTCTTTCTGTGCTGACACGCAGAGAGCCTCACCCCAGTTTAGCGGCTCACATTTGCCAGGAAAGGGTGGACCAGGTGATCCTTGAGGTCCCTTCCAACCTGGTATTCTCTGATTTTATGATTTAGAAAGTGGGCATGTGCCCACGGCAGAGAAAAGAGAGAGGTACGTGTCACTCTGATTCAGCTATCTATCTGGGGGTAGCAGTATCTTCTGCCTGGAACAAAGACTACTTGTTTGAAAGTAAAGGAGATCTACGATGGACGAATGCCACAACGATTTCAAGACCTTCCTTAACGTCTTAAGAGGAAGAGAATACTTCCAGGTATGATTTATTAACCACGGTATACATGTACGCTAAGACGGATCGGATCCTGCATGATCTTAGAAAGTTCATCTCCTTGGGTGCCATACATGGCCATCTTCCTCCCAACTCTCTGGAAGGACCGATCCCTCCTTGTAACTACAGTGAACTGGAGGTGCTAAATCGGATGCCTGAAGTTCAGCGCTGTCCATTTTCCTTTCTATAGAATAAGCATAGCAATCTTTTTGTAGACTATTTTAGGAAGGAAAACCACGACATATGTGTTATAAGGTAAATGGCTCTACTCACCTATACGGCTCTACTCACCTATACACATACATGTGCAGAAGTGTATTTATACATATACTGTTTGCCTATACAAACACGCACATTCACAAAAAAGGCTGTAAATTCATCTCGCTAAACGCTCATTCCTGTTCAGCGTGAGCACACTATGGTTTTGGTATTTTCTAAATCCAAATTGTAACGAGGAGTGAGAAAAGGGAAGGCTGAGAAGCAGTAAGAAAGAGCTACTTATTTTGTTACAGCAGCGCAAATACCAAAATAACTGCTGGCTGTAGTCAGTTTATTGAACATGGTGGTCCATAAATTTCAACATGTGACTGCGCTCAAACAAAAGACATCCAAAGCTGCTGCGAAAATAAATGGAAAATTGGATCCAACTACAAAGGCAAACCGCAGGATTGGACGTGCAACAAATGGGTCCCCAACGCCTCCACACCAAACACATATAACAAATTGTGTCTGAAACAAGCTCCTAGGAAAAAAAAAGACAAATCTTACCTGATACGGTCTCACTTTATGGTGAATTTCTTGAATTCCAACCTCTCTCGTCCTTACATCGCGACACTAGGAAGAGAAAGGAAGGGGGGAAAATAAATGACATAGGAGAAAAAACATTAACCTCTGAAAGACACAGATTTCCAGCCACCTGTTGGGTTCAAAACTAACCGGTAATAGCACGAAGTTGCACGGATGAATTTCAAATGGGTAGACTTCAAAATAAAAATGCTCACCGATCCATCCCTAATATACCTCTGAAAGAGGTCTTAGTGCTAAATGGAAAGACATGCTGGCAAAAAGCAATTCACTAAGCAACCGTTATGGCTCACGAGGAAACGTACCCTTTGATTCGCAAACAGCAGGGTCTGGAGGCAAAGTCAACACACATGAAAGAACAACAGAGAAAAAAAAAAAAAGACTTTGGCACAATCCACTTTTACCCTCCATTGGGAAGGTCTAACATTGGCAAAATCTACCCTCAGGCACCAGAGATGCTTAAATAGCCAGTTTTTAAATCTCAACAACCCTTTTCTTGCTTTTAAATGAGAACTGTTGCAGAAGTCCTACCCAAATATCAGAAAGTAAAGCTAACGCTGATCTGGCATCCACAGAGCTTCACTGAGGCTTGGGATCAATGAGAGAGAAAACAAGGAGAGCCAAAAGAAATCTTCCCTCCCTTAGCAGTCAGACAGGAGGAGACGAGGCTCCAAGCTCAGTGCTCGAGAGAGGGGTTATAGCCCGCAGGAACTTTTGTGCTTCTCGGCAAAGGCAACAAAAGTTGAATAATTTGGCACCCGTTCAGGTAAGCAAAGGGCTGTGATAGTACAAGCACTCCCACTGCAGGAGACCGTGCGCATTCACCTCTTAGCGGGTTTACTGGAAAGTCCAAGGCTAAGCTTAACCCAACTTTTGTCGGCAAAGTGCAGCCGCAACAGTTTTACCCAAAGCAGCTGAGCTGCAAATGCTCATGTCATTCGACCAGCGCTGCTGTAGCTGTACTTGGAGGGAAAGAAGACAACCTCCGCCAATGGGCTACCATTGCTCTACCAGCAACACCACTTCCCCACCCATGGATTTCCAAAAGCCAGACTTTTAGACAGGGGGAAAAAAAGGTGGAAATCCAATTCACACTGAAACTCGGAGCACCCAGAACAAGCACAGCTCTATCTCATGCCCTGTCTTCCTCTGAATGCTTTTTAATTCCATTATCCATATAAAGCGACGATCTCCCAAACAGCAGAAAAAAGTGGGGTTTCGTGTTTGGTTTTTTAGAGTGAGCTATGGTAAAACCAGGATTCACTGTCGTACCAGGATTCTAGAGCACACAAGCTCTCCTCTGTTTTAGTTTCCCAGCTACACAGACAGCACAGTAAAAGGCAGAGAAATAGCCACTCTTCATTAAGAGCCCCAGAACTGAGAAAGGATGAGCTCTGGAGCCCCCAACATAGGAAGGACATGGACCTGGTGGAGCGGGGCCAGAGGAGGCCCCGGAGCTGCTGGGAGGGCTGGAGCCCCTCTGCTGGGAGGACAGGCTGGGAGAGTTGGGGGGGTTCAGCCTGGAGAAGAGAAGGCGAAAAAGGGGAGACCTCAGAGCCCCTTCCAGTGCCCGAAGGGGCTCCAGGAGAGCTGGGGGGGGGGGACTTTTTACAAGGGCATGTAGTGATTGGACGAGGGGGAATGGTTTCAAACTGTGAGAGGGCAGATCTAGATTAGATATGAGGAAGAAATTGTTTCCTGTGAGGGTGGTGAGCCCCTGGAGCAGGTTGCCCCGAGAAGCTGTGGCTGCCCCATCCCTGGAGGTGTTCAAGGCCAGGTTGGACGGGGCTTGGAGCAACCTGGGCTGGTGGGAGGTGGCCCTGCCCATGGCAGGGGGGTGGGACTAGATGATCTTCAAGGTCCCTTCCAACCCAAACCATTCTATGATTCTGTGACAACGTATGCTGGGATGATGCTTTAGAATTCTATGTCCCAACTGCCTATCTCCACTTGCACTCAGTGGCTGGCAAGCATGAAGGGCAGCATCTGGTCCCTCCAACAAGGCTGCTCAAGAAGAATTTCTCTCCAACACGCACAGACACAAGTTGCGGTGTTGGCACGACTGATCCCCATCACCCAAACGCGCTCCTCACCAAGCCATTCCCCAAAGACGGATGCCAAAGCTGGCTGATCTTTACTATTGAGCCTGCAAACATGTAAGATTCCTACAAGCCCTTTCTTGCCTTGGCCTTTTCCGCCCCTTTTCCAAGCAGATAGACAAGAGGACAAAGCATACTTAATAGTTTTCTCCTTCGACACAAGAAAAACACAACAGTACCTTACATTTCAAGCTATACTGCAGCCACCTGTTTGGTTCTTCATTCCACCAGCTGCGGTGTTTCTGCCTCACTAAATTAAAATCTATAATCACCTGCACAGCAGAGAGTTTTACAGATTTTGGTTCTTCTAAAAGCGATGCCTGCCAGCCTGACAAGCCCTTTAACGGTTCAGCTCAGCCCTGACTGCCATGGATCAGCTACCCCTGCTTCTCCAGCTGGTCTTGATCAGGTTCAGATCAAATGATGTGGGTTTAGTATCAAACCCAGGGAAGGGTTCACCAGTAGCCCTAAAGAGCTCAATTGAAAAGGCTTAGCTGCACCCCGGCAGTTGTCTCCCCCCGCCTGGTTTTGAAGTGAAAAGTCAGCAGGAGGGATGGAAGCTTCTGCGGTTGCCAACGCTGTCTGCCAAATCCTGGCTCGCTACTGGAGAGAGACTGGGAGGAACGATTTAAGGGAAAAGTCCACGGCATCAGCTTAGGAGAGATTACGCGGTACGGAAAGCCCAGCTAGAAGGAAAACGGTCTGGAGTTTCTTCTCCGATCTTTTGCACTGCAACTGCAAGATCCAAGTGAGATGGCAAAGGCAGTACGGAGCTAGACGTAGCCTAGAGAACTATCCACCTTAAATACCAAAAATATAGGTCAGCAGCACAAGTTGATGCGGGAGCACGGGCAGACAGGCGGTAGCTGAAGACTGCACTGTTTCTGGATGCAGTAATGCCTTAAAACCTCTTTAAGGAAAGGTGAGTTAGAAAAGAGGGAGCGCTAAATCACAACACGGACACGTGGCACAGTTGTGGTGAGGATCTGCCCCTGCCTGAACACCGAAACACCGAAGCACTCAAAGCCCTTTGGAAGAGTCTCGAGGAACACGGGGTTTGGGTGGTGTTTTCTCTAGGAAGCCGGGCATCCCAAGAAAGGCGGAATTTGGGCATAACTTTACTGGAGGATCTGCAAACTGTGGTTGATAACCAGGTTTTGGAGGGAGGTTCAAACAGAGAGCAGTGCCAGCACAGACCGTGGCGGGCACTGGGGATGAGGACTGCTGCAGCAACCTTCTGAGAACAACCAAGACTGGGTATAGGTACCTCCTTCTGACTTCAAACACAAACGCAATTCCTCCCTCCCCCTCCTTCTCTCTGCCCCCGCTCATATTTTTATTTGACCTTAGAAATATGAAGAATATCAAGTCTCATTTGTTTGTGCCGAAATCTCTCTTGCAAGATTTTTCTGGCCTCAGACTAAGAGCTTCTCTTCCAATTGTTCAGTCAAATAAGTGCACGCGTGGGAAAAAGAAAGGAAGGAGAATTTCCAATAGCATAAATTAAAAAGAAACCTTCCTGCCATCTCTCTGATTTTAGGGTTTCATTCTGCTAAAAAAATGGAATATCACAAACTAGTTACCAAGTACCTTCAGGAACAGGGCGAAAGTGCTCACCTAAAAAGCAACCAAACAAAAACAGCTTTTCAGAAGTATCACCAAAGTGCTTTTGAGTCGGGAACATTTTTTTTGAAAAACCTTTGCGGATGGTTTTAGTCCAGCAGCACACCCAGCTCTTATTGTGTTTTCTGGTCATTACTTTCCTCTCTGCTACTTCATGTAAAGTCATCAAGCAGCTCTCCCTCAACGCCGATTGACGAATAGTTTACCTGTGTCCCAAGATCTTTCATCCTGGCCAAGGCAAGCTCTCTCAGGTTCCCGTGCTCCACTCCAGAGCTGACCAGTGGCATTGGGATATCTCTGCATAGAAGAGAAAAAACAAAAACCTCAAACAACCGCATTAGCAGGTGATACACCATAAAGTACAATTACGGCCACCTAAGGCCAAGATCCCAAATAGCAGACCACAGAACTTATCCGAATTACCTTTGTTTCAAGTCTTTAGTTGAACAAGAAATAACACAGGCAAACCACAACTAAGAGCAGGAGAAAAATGAAGGGAAAAAGCTACAGATTTTATTTTAGTAAAAAGACTGGAGACAAAAGCAGGCTTTTACACTCTTGAGAAATAGGTTATAATTTTGCTCTCAGTTCTTCACTTGGAAGTCTGGGGAAAAAAAAAGGCTCATCCAGCCGAGCCTGGGACTCCAGGTCAGATGTTCTTCACGGTATCTGTTGCCGGAGACCGGCAATTGGGAACCAGACCGCGTCTTTCTGCAGTCTCTGAGTTGAATGTCCATCAGGGAAAATTCATCAGAATCAGAACATTTTTATACTGGGGTGTTAGCTGCTTAGAAGTGAAAAAGTTCTGGTTAAGCCAATGATTTGCAGCAAAGCCCAGCCAGAAGGTTTAGGGCCTTCCTACGGGAATGTAAATCACGAGTCTGCAAACGGCAGAACTCCTTCCTTCAGTTCTCCAAGGGAAGCACCACAATGAAATGTGAAGTCAGACCAGGCTTGGCCTCTCCGCTGCCCTCCAGGGCAGTTTGTCCCACTAGAGGCGACGACAGCAGGAGACCATTCCTTAGGGAAAGGAGGATCTATGCAGCCACATCAAACTGAAAAAGAAACATGCCAGAATCACAGAATTTTCAGAGTTGGAAGGGACCTCTCGAGACCACCCAGCCCCACTCCCCTGCTAAAGCAGGACTGCCCAGAGCACATCCCTCAGGACTGCATCCAGGCGGGTCTTGAAAACCTCCAGAGAAGGGGACTCCCCCCCCTCCCTGGGCAGCCTGTGCCACTGCTCTGTCACCCCAACCCTAAAGAAGGGTTTCCGTCTGTTGGAACGGAACTTCCTCTCTTCCAACTTGTGCCCATCGCCCCTCGTCCTGTCCCTGGGAACCACCGAGAAGAGTCTGGCTCCATCCTCCTGCAACCCCCCCTTTAGATACGTGTATGCCATAATAAGGTCTCCCCTCAGCCTTCTCCTCTCCAGGCTAAAGAGTCCCAGCGCTCTCAGCCTCTCCTCATACGGGAGATGCTCCAATCCCTCA